CATAAACAGGCCGTGTGTGACCGGCCTCAAGCAGTTGTCCCCTGGGCTCTGCGGTCACGCAACCAACTTCCACAGTGTGGGCAGCCAGGAAGTAACAATCGCCCTCACAATCCGAAGTGCACACGAAACCTCTCTAATCCTCACTCACCTTTGTCTTCATCTTCATCTCTATTACCTTGCCTTCCTTCTACTAATGCAACTCCTCTACTTGATGGCTCTTCACTTCCTCTTCACTCTGTGTGCACTGATAACGATGGAAGCCAAAAAGCCACCATCGATAGTCTCCTAAAGCCACGCCACCAATTTCATATAGGAGCACTTAATGTTAGGACACTTTGTCAAATAGGACAACAGGCATCACTAGCCAAGACTCTGGCATCCCGAGCCATCGATGTATGTTGTGTTTCAGAAACACGCATACAAGACCCAAGTGTGGTTATTCACCTAACCCCACCTGGCCAACAGGATGAATCTGCAAAATTTACCTTGAGGGTGTCAGGAGATGCGACGGCTAGCTCACGAGGATTAGCTGGTGTTGGGATAGCTTTAAGTACTAGAACAGAAAAGACATTACTTGACTGGATCCCGGTAGATAGCCGAATGTGTGCTGTCCGTCTGAACGGATCAGTGAAAAGGAGAAAGGACTGCACTACTCGCCGATGCCTTTTCGTAATCTCCGCCTACGCCCCCACTGACTGCAGTTCGGATGAAACGAAGGATGAGTTCTACCAAAAGCTGTCTAGTTTGCTGCGAAAGGCTAAACGCTCAGATATAGTCGATTTAGCTGGTGACTTTAATGCTCAAGTAGGGAAATTGTGTCAATCTGAGAAGAATGTCGGTGGCACATACGGAATTCCTTGCCAGCGAACCAACAACGGTGACCGTCTCCTACAGTTCTGTTCAGATAATTACTTGTTTCTTGTAAGCACTAACTTCAAACACAAGGAGAGACACTGTTTGACCTGGCGACCTCCATCATCAAACCAACGCTGGACACAAATAGACCACATAGCAATAAGCTATCGTTGGCGTGGGTCGGTAGGGGATTGTTGCTCCTTCTGGAACACGTGTGTAGATACCGATCACGCACTGGTCCGCGCTCGTGTGTGCTTACGACTGAACGGACGTAGGAAACAGCTAGCGGTAAACCCATCACGTCCCCAGCTCGATCAGGAAACTAAGTCCCTATTTGAGGAAGAACTAGCTAAACACATATCTGAGTTCGACAGCTGCGCTCAACCTGAAGAAGCCTGGATATCACAGCACGGATCCAGAAAGCTCGGGCTGCTTTCGCTAACTTACACCGTCTCTGGCGTAGGCGTGACATCCGGCTGTCAACCAAGGGACGTGTATACTGCTCAGCAGTTCGCTCCGTCCTTCTCTATGGCGGTGAGACATGACCATTGAGAGCGGAAGAAATGAAGAGATTGTCTGTTTTTGACCACAGATGTTTACGATCTCTTTCTCGCGTTAGGTGGTATAATAAGGTAAGTAATGTTGACATTAGGCGTAGAGTGTTGGGCAAAGAGGGAAAATCACTCGAAGAGGCTATGAAGTTACATAGATTGAGATGGTTAGGTCACGTGCTGCGCATGCCTAACCATCGTCTCCCCCGACGGTCATTACTAGCTGATATAGGTGCAGGTTGGAAAAGAGTAGGTGGTGGCCAAACAAAAACATGGCATCAATCCATGAAATCCCTGACAGTTAAACTGAGTCAAGTAGGGAGATGCAGACTTCCGGGTTGGGGCCCTCGGGACTCTAAGAATCAATGGCTGGAGACAATAGGTGACATGGCTCAAAATCGTTGTCAATGGCGCAGATGTATTCAGTCTCTTTAACCTTCATATTCCTTTCTACCATTACTCATTCTGTTTCACTCTTATACTTATCTAAATTCTATTGATTCTCTTCTCTCATTTTCCTGTCTACCTTTGTGTGCTATTTGGAACGTGGCAACTCGAACTGCTGCACTTCGGTGCCAAGTTCTATGTTGAATCCAGCAGCAACAGCAGCCTTACAATGGAACACCAATGAAAGTTAATCAGTTAATTTTCATTGCCTGAGTTCCCTAGATTACAAAAGTATGACACCTTAGTTTTTTTCATGTGATTCTACTGCATTTTATTGGCATTTTAATTTAGCTCTATTACACATATAAAAAGCTTTATACAGTTCAAGTTGTTTTTTCATCGAACCTGCTAAATATAACTACTTCTTACCTTTGCTCTGTCATTTGTTAGAATGATGGTTTTTTATAAATAGACATTTTATAGAGTATCACTGCGCATCCTTCGAGGACAAGACTGATTGAAACTCTAAATCACAACACTCATAAAATGAAAAATCTGTTACAGCAAACACAATGGATCCACAAAAATATAGTATTACTTACTGTTTCACTGCATGATCTATCCAGTAAGGAAAGTATTATGAAATGATAAACTGTCACAGTGTTCAAGTTTTGTACATTTATAAAGTAGAAAAATAACTTCACCACCCTTTTCTTTGTCATAGGATCTACTTCCACCAAGAGTTGAGCACCTACAAGTTGTTCAACATTTTGATAGGGTTTTCCTAATGAAAGAAATGAATTTTTCATGTAGTAAGATAGCGTTTCTTATTTGTAAGTTTAAAATAACTAGTTCCTTTTATGAATTTAGACAATGCAATAAGAAGACGTGATTTGTCTGAATCGTGTAATGTTGTATTTGCGCAACACATTTCGAATAATCTGATCACACACGGACTTGTCATAGGAATATATATGAAACTAATACAGAGTTAGGAGGTGAGAAAATAGACTAAGATTAAGAGGACATACTGAAGGTCAAAATAACAATGCAGATCACTAAACTAAATAACAGAGGTAATAATACATCTGCCCTGACTGGTATCGAAACAAAGTTTACCAAAGAAGGTGTAGTGTGATGACGAATTTGCGCTTTGAACGCATAAAGGTGGTTTAAACTTTCTAATTGCTAGCTAGGGCTTCCATAAACTTAAGGATACGCCCCAAACACGTTTTATAGATAGGTTTAAAAGATGTGTTAACGTCAATTTTATGTCCTCTCTCTATAATATGTTTCGCAATAGAAGAGCTAGGTCTCCTGTTCTCACCATTAATAGGTTCTGAAGATTCCATTTGTTTCTGGAGCCATATAGGAATCCGCTCTGAAGCCCTTAGTTGCAGAGATCGATGAGTCCTCCCTATGTATGTGTGTCCACATATACATTCAAATTGGTAAATGCAGTGGGATGTGACGTCATTTTTCGCATGTTCGAAGAGCTTAGATAGATATATTGGCTTTACATTCTCAGTTATAATGATATTAGCTGCATAAAAAGTCTTTTTGACAGCAGCGTTCACTCTTTGTCTAGTTATCAAGCTGCTATGATCTCCCATATAGGGTAGCTTGATGTACAAGTCTTTCTTAGTGGTGAGTTGGAGAGTGGGTGTTGGTGTTCCGACTACTTTATATCTCTTACTGAACCTGTCTGGATAATTATTATCAAACAGAGTTCGTGTCAACTTTCTTTCTTCCTCCTCAAGTGTGTCTTCAGTGCATCTGCACTTACTAAGATTTGGACACTGAAGTAGAGAAACCTTTACTCATTCATTCAACAAACCTCGTTCTTAACAAATTTCAGGGAGGATGAATGATTGCTGATTGACGGATTTAAACAATGAAAGAAGGGTTATTATTTGATACACAACTTTAAACCAGTGAACTTTATTTTATCACGGATAAATCTCCATGACTATAGAACACATTCTGAGCAAATAAGTATTTTTAGTGATTTGTCATCAGGAGTACAGTTACACAATATACTATTCGTATATATTTGGAACCAGTATGGTTAACAGAATTAAAGTTCAGTAGTATTAATTAGTGATTAATGATCTAGGTGATCTTAATAATAGCAAGGACAAATTCGCGAAAGTCTTTATATAATCTAGACATTCTATTGTTGCAGATGGGTAAGTAAAATGTGTATACGTCTATCGGTCGAGGGGGAAATAACTACTTTATGGAATCTCCTCAATACACTATTCACTTTGTAGCAGTCTTTTAGCTACTGGCTGCATTCTGTTGTCTCTGTAAACGCTTTCTATTCAGTAAATCACTATCCTGTTCTGAACGCCACTTAAAGCGTTACTATTTTTTTTCTAATGGCACAATATAAATATTAATGAGCTCATATCTTGAATTCTGCCTGTTTTCATCTCATTTCTCAAAAAAGTGCTTTTTTCTTTTGATTATTAAATGCATCACTGAGTGTAGATTATTTTAAATACTTTTGCTTATCTTTGTGACTAATGCCCTTCATGTACTTACGTAAAACGTAAGCGAAGGATAGAAATGTATACTTTCGCCTCTGTACAGTGTAGTGCGTCTACTCCTTTATTTGGTGTTGACTGATGTCAGATTGCCGTCAACCCTCTATAATCAGCAGTTCAAAGTGCATCGTGATGGCGAACCACCTAATGGCATGGTGGCCACATTGTAAACTTGACTGATATAATTCATTCTGAACCGAACAAGGGAATAGATAGACTAAACTAGTTACTAACTTGTGTCCAGTCAAAAATATGCAATACAGTCCTACAGGAGGTCGGCCGCGAGCCTGAATAGCTCAGTGATAATGTCTCTGACTGCAGCAATGATTGACGCGGGCTGGAGTCTCAGAAGGGACATGAGTTTCTTTAAGGTTGCAGATATGCACTGCTGACTGGTGAGTGCCGACTAGCACGAAACCTAGGTCCATGGCTTCCTGCGGATTGCTTGCAACCATCTAATATCAATAATATATATATACGTGTCACTTTAAATTGCATAACTTTTGTTTGATAAATAAGATTTATATCACTTAACTTACATCTTCTCAGTCAGACAATAATTTATACTAACAACCAATACGGGAAACTGATAACTATTTTGTCGTCCTCTCAACTTTTTTTCCTTCAAACGTCCACATTCTCTTTTTAATTAATCTAGACAAACATCTTCAAGTACAATTCCTGTGAAGCATGAAAATGATTCAACAAAATCTGTAGAATTTAAAGAAGAAAATCAGTGTTTAATAAATAATACAAAAGAAATAATGACGTCAAATGATAAATGCTCAAGCTGTTCAGAAGTTAAAAAAGATGTTTTACAGACAAGTTCTACTGAAAAAGATAAAGGTAACATTGAAGAAAAGAATACTGGAACTGTAATAACAAATGAAACACAGAACACTTCATCACAACCGGTTCAAGACAAATGCGATTTAGGTATGTAAGAGTGAGGTTTTAATTATCTATCTACAGTTGTTTACATTTTGACATCAGATATCTGTTGTAATCAAGTCTGCTGATTACGATATGAGATAAATTCAGTTCTCAAATATGCATTGTCTGCTCGAGTTACAGTTTGCTATACCTTTAAGTTCCTAGTGGAACATAGGGCTTCAAGCTAGAGCTTTGAAGTTTCAGTAGCAGTGGTGTTTATTTTTACGGGATGGGGTTCCTAGCCCCATGCCCAACCTTCCCTCTTTACCAGTCTTATTACTGACTTAACGAGGTAGTGGAGTGCGTCGGCCAGGGATCGAACCCCGAACCACATGCGTGATTGGCGAGCATTCTACCTACGTGCCACCAACGCACTCAAGAATTAAAGTTACATTAGATTATTAACACTGAGTGTATTTATTATATTTGACTCCATATGTTTTACTGAACTATTTACATTGAATTTTAAGCCATCCACGTTCTCAATATACTTTGATTGGACACTAGTTAGTAATTAGTGTAATGTGTCTAATCCTTTTGTTTGATGCAGACTGGATTCTATCAGTCAAAGCTGCAATCGTGAGCTCAAATGGCTGTGACTGCATTACTGGGTGACGTGTGTTCGAGTCTCAGAAGGGACTTGAGTTCCTTCAACGTTACAGATACGCCCTCCTGACTGATGAGTTTCAACTAGCATAAAATCTAGGTTCAAGGCTTCCTGCTGATTGCCTCCAACCATCTAATAAGTTCTCAATATACTTCAAATTTTTTAAAAATGAAGACACGAAGATTTGAAGAGAAGAATTCCTTTTCTATATTTAAATTTCTACTAGAATATTTTTTATCAAACTTAAGTGCCTTGAGCTTAAAAAGATGAATTCAGAGTAATAAATGCACACGATTAACTTGAGTTATGTAGAATGAGACTGACTTCCGCTCTCCTGAAATAAAACAGCAGTAGTAAATTGATTAAATTCTAAACAAAATGCACACGAAAGCTATAAATCTCAGTTAATATTGAAAGCAACTTTTTTGTGAACAAATAAAAGAGAGGATGGAGACAAAAAAAACAAGAATAAATCAAAAAACTAGTGGTTCCAACCAGAGCAACTGCGTAAACACGACGAATATTGTTGTTCATATAACTGAATAGCAAAATGTCAGTAAGAAGATAAAATGATAGAACAAAAGTGAATATGATCGCCTACTTTGATAAGTAATTTATTTTAGTAAACCATTTAGATATCAACTGAAAGATTACTCTGCAAATGTAGATAGGTTCTGTTATCACACTACAATATCTATGAAGAGATTAAGCAGACACTGGCGAGCGCAGTAGAAGGAGTTTATTTTTAGTACATCTAACATATTTCTCATACAAAGAGTACCGTGTTTAGCTTAACCAAGTGGAACTAGCATTAAAGATGATGAAGCAAGCCTGCAGCAGAGTGATTCATAAACGAATAGCCAACAAAAGACTGAATTCCTCACTAGCCACAGCCTATCCTGAAGCTAATATGGTTCCAATTTATCGGACAGCATGCTCTTTGGTACAATCAAAAGTCGACAGATACCGTTCTCATGTTAACTCTAACTGTATATACAAATTTACATGTAATTGCCGTAGCAGTTACATTTGGAGAACAGAAAGAAGGCCATACCTCTGCTTTTTCTGGACATGTACCAGAAAGTTTACGTCTCATGGGAAAAAAGCTGACAACAGTACCATTGCCAGACATTGTATCAATAAGGGCCATGAGGTGGTCGCCGTAAAATCCTTTAAAATTGTCATTAGACAAGATAGTTCAGTTCCCCTCAAGTTTGCCAAAGCAATCGCGATCAAACGCCTGAAAATCGATTTATGTATCCAAAAAGAAGCAGTTATCAGTCTTTCCTTGCCCTGGTAACTGGATGTCTTTATTCCCTCTTCCATTTGGCTGTATCCTTATCTCCGTTGGTATAATGTGACTCTCCTTGTCTCCTATTTCTATGATTTGAGTAGAACTCACTTTACTGCCAATCAGTTTATTAATTACTCGTCATCTTACTCACCTCTTGTGTTTATCCTGTAACTCCTCTGCCATTATGTGCAAACACGGATTTTTGCTTGAACTTGAACTATCTGGGTGTAATTTTCTGAGCGCTGTTTATTAATTTAGGGACCTGCTGTCAGCTGATATCATGTAACATTAGCAAGTATGTTAAGGCTGTTCTGCACATAAACTTAATAATTTCTTTAGGATTTAGGCAGCTGATGAGAAGCCAACGAAATAAGTGATGGTACCATCTTATTCTACACAAACTGCTGTTCTTGGTTTGTTCAAATTCATAAAGTGACTGAGAAATTTTAGATCATCACAAAAGCTCTTATATCACTCCATTTAAAAATGATAACCGATGTGTATAAAGAAATATGGACGTATTTTAGTCAGTTTGTGTTCTGTATTATTTCATCATTCTTACATTCCAGATTTGTTTTATTACTTTAATTGTTCACAACCCTGGATAGCATAACTTAGTGAAAGAGAGGACATTTCTAGAAACAATGCACACGGTTTAATTATCATCCTATGTTTGCTATATGAATGTGGATCATGTAGAATATGATATATAAGTGCGAAAAGAAATTTGCGTATGAAGACAGCAATATCAAACTTGGGCTCTGAAACTTCAGTAGCTCTTGTGTTGTTTTTGTGGGGTGAGGTTGCTAGGGTTACACTCAATCCTCTCTTTTCTCTGGTCTTACTACCGGCTAGGTGGAATTAAGGAATATGTCTGCCGAGAGTCGAACTTTGGACCAAGTGATGTTGGGTTAACGAAATATCATAAAATTGGAACTGGGTTCATTTAAATAAATGAAATGACGACTCGCTGAACATCTTGATGGTTAGGCATTTTAAGTTAAACAGAATAATTTCATGAGAGATTTTCCTGCATACATTTTAACTTAAACAAAATATCTACTGTGTTTATCTACTACCTGCAATGGTTTTACTCCGTGACTCAATAATTATAATCAATATCAAAATGAAACCGAAGCAATAAATGATACTCAGACAATAAATTACACTTATTAGGAATAATGAGTTATCAGTCGTTAGAGTTAATTTAATAATATAATCCAAAGATCTGCACGTAGTATATTTCAATGATTCTTCTTCCCTGAAGGTTTGCTGAACTGGTTGCTGAATCTTCTTTGGAAGAGGATGTGAGTTTCCTGTAAATTCCGAAAGATGCAATCAGTAAGTATAATGGCTACCAGGCAGCCAAAGAGAAAGAGAACACTATGTGCGAGCTAGCACATGTATATTTTACTTCCGGCGTACAAAAGTGTATTTCCCAAAACTTGGGCAGATAAATCAAACAAAGATTTGTAGCAAATGAGGGATACAAACAATTTTAAGATAGGAAAGAATGTCTTTTCTTAACCTGTAACAAGAACTGTACAGAAGCATCTTTCTACTGTCTACAACTTTCCCAAATGCTACTGTAGCTAAATCTAGCAGTCTATATATAGATAAATATGATTATATTTGTGCAGTGGGGAAATAATTAAATAATCATTTTGTTTTTTTCATGTTTTATTCCTTCAGATGAAAATCCATTATACTTATGTATATTAGTATCCCCATACTCAATGAGAAGTAATAAGCATAGAAGACATCCACACTGGTTTACTATTCAATCCGAGGAATATTGGTTTCTGATACCACACGGAAAGTGAGTTGTTGGCTGTTATTATCCTTAATTGACCCTTCAAAACTCACCATGTGTTGTTTGACTTTGTCATGTTTATTTTTCAATGAATAGATCGATACCCAACGTCTAAACGAGATACAGAGCTGTGTAACTGTAGTCAGCAAACAGCCTTGGACAATGTGGTCTAGTATATATAACTGAACCTGTTGGCTTTGTTGAAAGTGTCAGACACTTGTGACAGTCATCCAAAACTGATAAGCTTTTTGTAATGTTCATTGTGTTTGAAAGTGGAATTTTGCAGAATTTTTGTACTCAATGTTACTATCAACAGATGTATTCTCATTCTAAAACAACATATCTTCATACAGAACTACCGATTTATTAGCATAATTAATTGAGCACTGAATTCATTGGCTGTGTTTTTGAACACTTCTCCATCCCCATTGATTATTGTAAACAGACATGTTTGACAATCAAGTCTATAATTGTTTGGCAGTAATTTATGGAAAAAATGCTCCAGTAAATTATGTATATAACATAGAAGTAAGATGATTGCATGTTATTTCAGAAATAGCATAATTATTTTTTCTGTTTTCTGTCAAATACCTTGTTTTTGTATTTAAGGATACTGTTGTCTTTCATGAGACAAGGTAAATTTTAGAATACTCATTTTCTTTTTCTTTTTTTTTTACTTCATTGATTTCATATATATCATGTCTGTGAACCAACTAGGTACAATTAATGTGTTTAATGCCAAAATATTGTTTTGGAAAACATTGTAGTCCTAGTTGTTTCACACACACCACCCCATCATCCACAGTGAACTCGAATAAGGTAGAATACAGTTGTGGACTGTTAGCTTACCAATGTAATCTACAGAAATGCTGTGTTTTTTGTATGTGCATATATCACTTTCGGTTTCCCAACTGTTTCGGTAGAGTTGTTTTTATTGGTTTCAGAAGCGGTTTTTAGATGTAATTTCATGAACGAAAAAAATAGATGGTTGGGGGTGGGGAGAAGGACGTTTCAAACACGAAACGCTTATTTATTCACCGCCATGAATACTTTTGAAAATTTGCAACAGTTTCGCGGATGTGGCACATTACTCTTGGGATTCAGAAGACAAAAAAATGTTCGTGTAGATAAACTAGTCGAGTATAAATTTATGACTGGGAAACACTTAATTCTTTGGAGAGAAAGAAATATTTCGATTATCTATCTTAGCTGCAAACAGATGATTCTTTTTTTAATTTATTTTAGGATTTTTCAATGACATCTATTTTTAAATAGAGTGTTCCAGTTTCTTTTATTGACTTGCATTGCGAATGGAAGTTTCAGTAGCATTGGTGTTTTTACGGGATGAGATTCCTAGCCTGACACCTAGCCTTCCTTCTTTACCGAGTTTACTGCTGGCTAAGCTCGATTTTGGAATACATCAGCGGGGAATTGAACCTTGGGTCACTTACACGGTTGGTTGCTATTCTATCGCTGAATCACAGATGCATCAATATGGAATTAATTTCATACAAAACCTGGCCCTTTGTAAATCGAAACTGAATACAAAAATAGCATTGAAGAGAATAATATGCTCTGCTTCTTAATAGAATATAAGCACTGATGTGTATATCAGTTTGTTTGCAGAAATGGAATAATCTTTATTAATCCCTTGTGTTTCGAGTGGAACATAGGGCTTTGACAACACATCTCCACTTTCTTCTATTATCTGCGGTCCTCTTCAGCTGGGTTCACAACTCCCCATAATCTCTCATCTCCTCCTCACACTATCTCCTCCATGCCAACCTAGGACAACCTACTCGTCTCTTGCTATTGGGATTCCCTTCGAGACATGGCCTGGCGCGCGATGTCATTCAATGGCCTCCTCAACGTATGCCCAATCCATCTCCATTTCCTTCTGAACATTAGTTGAGCTATCAGCTGCTGGTTGGTTTTTTGCCTGAGTTTTTTGTTGCTAGTTCTTTCTGGCCATTTGATCTTCAGTATGGAGCGAAGGTGGCAGCTGTTGATAAAAGTCTGTCACTTATTGGAAATCCTTTACATGAAACGCCAAGTTTAGGATAAATAGGAAATTTTGCGTAATTCAGATCGAACTAAGCTGAATTAAAGATGTTGAAAGAGTAATAATGAATTTCCATGTCTTTAAAAAAACCCAATTTAATTTCTCGAGAATGTTTGACGAAAAACGAATACTATTTAACAAAAAATATCTCAGATTGTCTCAGAAAACCTATTTTTATATAAAGTTTAACCTGACAATATACATATCTGTTCTTTATGTGATCAGTGACAGCAGGGTGTAGTTGAGATTGAGGCACCACTTTGTGTTTCTGCCCATATTCAGGTAAACTTACTCATACATACGAAATTCTGTGAATATTTTATGACTTGGAAAAATGGTTTCGCATTTCATTGTCAAGTCTCTTCACTAAATCGTCCTTTAAGCACAAAAACTGGAAACTGTATATTTATATATCTTTCTTACTGAGTAATCTTTTGGATTTCTAAGTATAACGGTCCACAACTACTCTTTTCTGAAGAAGGTGTGCTTACATGTTTTAAAAAGGTCACTTTTTCTATTTCATCTGATCAGCGCCTATCCGCTGAAACATCTAAATCGAGGTGCAAAAGATTTCTGACCTCATGGAGTGAATTTCTATTAAGCGAAAATATCCATCTTTCTCTTATGTTAGCTAGTTGTGTTAAATTTCCACTTGACAATTTAACTCCTAAATATTATTCCTACAGTTGTCAAACTACATAAGAATTCGTCATTAACATAGCATAATGTAGTTTCAACGCAGCAGCTCATGTTGCCACATTTCGTAAGCGCATAAATGTAGAGCGGAAAAGAGAATAAGGATATTCAAACAATAAGGCATAACTCTATCAGTACATAAGTAAGCCAATTAAACTGCAACAAGGATTGATAATGAATGTCTCAGACCTGTAGAAATCAGACAGTAATAATGAACTATGAACTTTACCTGTTAACTAAAGATTGTTATTAAAATCTATCACCATAAGGATTTCTTCTTAAACTGGTCAAGCCTTCACATTTATGGATGCTGTTGTCATAGTCACAGAAGACGACTTACCAATATTTCTAACTAAATAAATCAATGAAAGTATTCTTATTTTGGACTTTAAATAGTCTCTTACCTCATTAATTATAGTCTCTGATATCTTAGAGACTGACTTTATATGTAATTGTAACATATTATAACTCTTAGAAATAATATTAATCCGCAGTTTTTCATCCATTTAAATTATTTAGAGCGCAAATTCTATTCGACTTTCTCCTGACTTGTCAGTTTCATGGATATGAAGATGATTCAAACAATGAAGAGCACTTCACCGATATTGAAAGTAGTCGAGTGTCAGTTAAAAGTATTGATACCAAAAATAAGGATAATACTAAGAAGATGGCCACTGAAACGCTTCATTCAAAGTCACTAGGAAATCTAAGTTTTCTTAAACATTCCCTTAGCAGCCCGAAATCAACTGGTTCTCCGGGTGTGGGTGATATGGAGAGTGATAATTTTAGTAAATTGGATAAACTACTCCATCATCATCATCATAATCATAATCAAAAATCGAATCATCGACGACACAGTCATTATCATCATTTTGTCATTGTCCCAAAAACATTCGACTGGATATTACCACGTATCGGTTGTTCAGATGATCGTTCACGTGCTTTAATGACTCTCAGAAATTATAAACAAAAGCGTGCGCAAAGCTCTAAAGATTTTTCCGTAACAGTAACTGATAATGATAATCCCACTGAGCGAAGTGAAACTAAAGTAGATTCAAAGGAATCAAGTAAAACACAACAATCACTAAATCGTTCTTCTCTAAAGGTTACAACATCAAGTCATGAAAGGATAAGAGAATGTCGTAGTGTACCATCAATGGAAGAGGAGAAGTCTGCCATAAGAATACTAAAAGAAGAGTCTATTGATTGGGAGGTAAGCTGTTTTTTTTTACCCTATCACATAATGTTGTAGACAATTTTGTATAAAAGTTATAGAAATTTAAATATGCTTAAGATTTTGTCTTAGTCTATGATTATCAGTACTAATTCGCTCATAAGTGCAAGAAAACAGCTAACTGCTTATGACTGACAGCTCACTATCAGGTAAAATCTACAATAACATAGTTGTTTTCGTTGTTAACAACAAATAATACTGGAGATCACTTCTCTTCCTGGTATTAGACTGATCACATCTTCCCCCTTTTGTGTATGGTGGTGTTAAATGTTTATCAAACTTGTTGGCTACAGACATGCCTTTACATGACAAGAAACAGCTGAAGTTAAAGAATAACTTGCAGATGTTAGAAAGTTTACTGTGTTAGTTTAGTAGTATTGTCGTTCCCTTGAGTTCCGAGTGTAACATCCAGCTTCAACGGCCTTTCTTCACTTCATCCTGTTCTCTGCAGTCGTTTTCAGCTGGATCCACGATTACCCATAAGCTTTCATCTCTCCCTCCCACATAACCTCCCCCATGTCACCATCAAATACACGGCCAACTCGTCGTTTCTATTCGGGTTTCATTGTAGGACATGGCGCGAAATAGCACTCAATGGTCTCCCCAAGATGTGTCTAGTGTACCTCCATTTCCTTTGGCATATTTTTAGGTGATAGGTTTCTGGTGGGTTCATTCAAAGAATCCCTTGTTGATAATCCTTCCTCATCGGCCATCTGATCTTCAGTATTGATCCAAAGAAGGCAGCTGTTGATAAACATTGTTCTAAAGCCAGTCATCAAAATAATAAAGTGTTTTTTCTTAACTCCAACGAACCACTTATCTTGAAACGTGTCTAAAACTGATTGTTGCCAATATCAAGGGAACATTGTTTACAATTTTTATTGTAGGTTAGACATATCACCACCAGACATTATGAGATATGAAGAAGAAGCCTATTCATCACTGTCACAAGTCAAGCAGTTCTTTTTCTTCGAAAATCTTCCTCACCTAATTTATGTCACTAGATACTTTGTT